TATGGATTTGCCGGTAGCTTTTTAGTGGAAAACAAGAGAGACGGCGGCGATGGAAAATCTGAGAGATAGAGAGAGACGAGAACGAGAGAGTATCAATTTTTTTAATTTTTTTATGATTTCAACCAAAATAAAGAAATAATAATAATATTAGTATTTATATAGGGAGTGAAAAGGAAAAAAAATGTAGTAACAGGGAGTGCAGAGAAAGAAAAATAAGTTAGGGACTGACAAGGAACTTGATTTGTGCATTAGGGATTTTAGAGGAATTATCCGTTCTTTCAATTTGTTCTCCCTTATGTTTGGTAGACAAATAGGCTATAGCTTATAGCTTATTTGGTTAGCTTATAAGCTACATGTATTCAAATAAGCCTCGTTTGGTAGGACGAACTTTTTCAAAAAGCTCGAGCTTATTTGATAAGCTTGGTAGCTTTTCAAATAAGTTAGTTGAATTTTTTATTCTAACTAGCTTATCAGCTAATTTTACCAAACACTTTTATCATATAAGCTAGCTTATCTGCTATAAGTCATAAGCTATAAAATTACTGATAAGCTATCAGCTAGCTTATCAGTTAGTTTTACCAACTATAGCCTTAATCATTTCGTCATCAATGATCTTTTTCAAATAAGCTAGTTGAATTTTTTATTCCAACTAGCTTATCAGTTAATTTTACCAAACAATTTTATCATATAAGCTAGCTTATCAACTATAAGTCATAAGATATAAGCTAAAAAATGACTGATAAGTTATAAGCCAGCTTATCAGCTATCAGCTAACTTATCGGCTTGTTTTACCAACCATAGCCCTAATCATTTCGCCATCAATGATCTTCTTCAATTGAAGAGAAGCAAAAGAAAAAAAAAAAAATCAGAAAACGTATCATCAGTCTCAGGTTGTTAGAGGATCCTATGAATTTGAGGTACCGTAATCGTTCGTCTTTTTATCATTTATTTTTTTACTTTTTTTTTTCGATTGGTAACGATGGATTTCCAACCGTAGTGGATTGATATATTGCTTGTGAATCAATGTATTATTGTTGGGTTTTGTGTTTCTATGAATTTTTCCAACATATTTTTAGTTTCGTCTTTTATAGTCATTTATTTAAAATTGGGGCTTCTCCTTCAGATTTTTCTACCACTTTAGTACGAGTGGCTTGCCGCGAGCGCCGTTGGTGAGGATGTTGGAGGGGCTGTAGTCCCGATTTCGGCATTGTCAACGGTTGTCTTGTCGGTGAAGAGATGCAAGATTGGAGCAATTCGCGAAAATAGAGCGAGCATATATAGGAAATTTCGAATGGGCAGTATATGTTTAGTATATGTTGTGTGTATAGGGAATATCTGTTCAGTATTTGTTGTGTGTATAAGCAGTATATATACCATTGTTTTGAAAGTCGGACTGGACTGGCCGGTTCAACCAGTTGGACCGAGAACCGACCATCATTACGGTTAGGTTCCTTCAAATCGCTATGCAGGAGAACCGGTCAAGAACCATTCGAACCGGTCCAAAACCGGGGAACCGAGACCGGTTCGAATGGTTCACCGGTTCAAGCTTATGCATTTGAACTTGTAGATAGTGAAGTAGTTTAAATAGCACACTTGTTACTTATATTTCCTATGTAGGATATGTTTCATTGCTTAAATTACTGGGTCAATATTGAGCCTAACAAGTAAAGTTGTACTCATTAAAAATATGTATTGTTATTTGAAATGGATTATCTATTGAGTTATATTTATTTCCAATTTTTTTTTTTTTTAAAAAAAAGAAGCAATTTATTTTATTGTTGTTTGGTATGCACATTATTTTTATTTTTTTATTTTCTAATCAATAATAAAAAAAATTATAATGCGATTCAAAATGAAAATTGAGTTGTTTCTATTCACTCTATTTTGCAAATTAAATACAGATTAAAATTTTAAATATAAAAATAAATAAAAAAGATTGTTAACAACATTATTCAACATTGTCGGTTGTATATATTACTGGACTATTATTTAGAAAATTTCATATACTATAAAATTAATCAAAATATATATAATTATATATTATACATATAAAATAAATAAGAAATTATATATCAATTAAACCGGTTCAACCGCTAGTCTGATCAGTGAACCATGAACTAGTAATTTCACCGGTTCGATGACCGATTCGGCCGAAATCATGGTATATACTAAACATATACTGAATATAAACTCAATACCTACTGCTCATTCAAGACATGAAAATTTATACTGACTAAACTTAACATATACTTCATTGTAGCTGCAATTTTTGCAAAAAAAAATACGCGAACGCAACATATACTACGAAATATTTAAAAACTGATTCAAAACAAGAACAATTTGGTCTTTTTTTTTTTGTATAGTTTATATAAATAGTCCAATTATCGTATAATGAATAAAAATCATCATAAGCGACTTTGTCCAAAAATATAAAAAATATATACCTTTAATATACAAAAAACAAATAAAACAAAAAACAAAAAAAAAAAATGATACATATGCCATTAATAAAAAATATCAATTCACGTACGTTTCAATGAATTTTAAACTTAAAAAAATAATAGGAAGATATAATTTTTTTATGAAAGACATGTTTTTCATTACAACATATACTGAATATATACTAACATAAACGCAATATTTTTCCACTTGGACAACTGTGTGAATTATAATAAATGTTTTTATATCTCTCTATTTAAAACGTACAAGTTGCGCGAATGAAGGAAGTAAATGAGCCAGTTATTTATTATATGCATTTTCTTATTTCTCTCTTAACCAAGCACATGAAAAGGGGGATGAAAGTTGAGATGATATGGCAACTGACTTTAAACACTAATATAAATAAATAGGGTATTTTAGGTAGAGACGCATTTATTCTAATTGTATGGTAAAATTGTAATTAATTAAAAATTTACACCCCTTTACCATCATATAAGATTTGTATTACAATTATACACCCAATTTAACTTTATTTATAAAATAACTAAATCAACTAAAAAATATTACAAATATACTTAATATCTAATTCAACAATTTTTAAGATATTTTCGGGCAAATTAATACGAAACCTACTAAACAAAGCCAAAAAAAAAAAACACTTGAAGCAATACAAAACACCAAAACAAGAGTCCTCCTCCGCAGCAGGAAAGCAAGTTCCACGACAACCCCGCCACCACCACCTAGAGCTACAACCCAAAAGGACAACAGGGCCGAGCCAAGCACCGAGACCTGAAACTGCAGAAAACGCCTAAAAAGATTCGATACGCCTAACAAGACCTGGAACGTAATATGTTTTCTATATTTAAAAAAAATAATTAAAAAAAAAATGTTGATTGTTCAGGTTTGTAATTGAGTCCAAAATGCACTGAAGTATGGACTTGGTCTAATTTTTTTATTTGACACATAAGTTAGACTATGTCCAACTTTAATTGCATCGAAAAACATTTTTTTTTCTTAGACCAAGTCTATTTCCTATATGATATTTTTTAAAGAGACACAAAATATTGTGTGTGCTCTTATTGTTAAAGAACTAGCTAGGCTTGCTTACACCCTTAAATTTTTTATTTTTATTTTTTTAAAGGGAAATTCCTATAATCAATGTACAAACAGTGAGACCGTTATGGTAAGAGAGTCTTGAGCACCCCTCAAAACAAGGAGAAAGTCCAGCTTAAAATCACAAATCAATCTATTGAAGCCCATATTTAATGCTATGGACTACCTATTAATCCGACCAAAACGTGTGGACCTATTAATCCGCATTCATATTCTCTCTCTCTCTCTCTCTCTCTCTCTCTCTCTCTCTCTCTCTCCACCACATTTTCCCCTTCCATTTTTTCTCTTTATTCTACCATCAAACTCAATTGCCTTTTTCATTTTTTCTCCATTCAAGGAATAACCTTCACGTATGTATAATCATCTTGTGCGCTTCATGCATTTTCTTGCATTTTTATATATACACATTTGCTCTAAATCTGGGAGAATGCTACTATCTCGTTATGGATGGTTCGTTATCTTTTGTAGCCGTAGATATATATGTAATCTATGCTTAAAAAATACAACGGAACCCTCTCGTTACGGGACGGGACTGTAGCCTTCCCCCTAAATCTATTACCATTGAATGTTACATGTGCACAAGAATGTTCAAATGTTCATAAAGCAAACCATTAATAAGTAATAAATAAACAAAAATGTCTTATAGATGTTAGAAATTTTCTCACTTTCCATCTCTATCTTCCCCTGCTTCATGCTTAGATGTGTGTAATGTTCTGTTATCATACTGCGATAAAAAAAAACTCCCGATAAACCGAACGCCCGGTAATATTCGCAAGCATGCATGCACGTCTTTTTAGCGTCTTATAATGTTACGAAATTGTGTTTGCTGATCGAGCCCGTTTTCGCGATGCAGTTCGTGGAGAAAAATGTTTGTATATCTTCTTTTGTGTTTATTTCTATTTCAAACAACCGACGCCCAAGGCGGACGGCCAGCACCGATTCCCCCGAGGAAATGGATGACTCTCAATGGTACCGAAACTCGTAATTTCACAGTTTAGGGGGGAGGGGCAAAATTGGAAAAGAAAAAAATGCGGAAACTAATCGATAGAGACGTTGCATTTTTCTTGCAGGCGGCCAGCCTGAGGTCGTGGCACACGGCGGATACTCGGGATTTTTCCCCGACTCGAGTCAACCCGCATATGACTTTTCTCTCGACAGTAGCATCCTCGGCACGATTCTATATTGCAACATGCATTTCACAAAGGATAGCGATGCCTTTTGTGTCGCAAAAATGAACCTTCAGAACTCGACCAACATTGACGAGTTCGACCCGAAGGGAGCCAAGACTTACAACAGATATGGACAGGAAGTTCGCGGTTATTTCGGCTTGGATTATCCTGCACAAATCATCTTCGAGAACATCACACGTAAGCCGTGACAAAAATAAAATAAAATAAAATAAAATAAAAAATTGAAAATAATTGTTGTTCTTTTCGCTATTTTCATGTCGAATCATGGCATGTGATGAACGTGTTCTCTTTATACATACAGTGCGCCAGAATATTTTCACGAGACAAGGCGTATTTGACGGTGCACCTATGGTCGGGCCGTTTCAATTGGCCGAGGATAGAAATGGCAAGCCCACAAGGCTTTGGCTCAACATTGAGGTTCCCTCTCATTATACATCCAGTTTTCTTCAAAATTCGATAAAAAAAGTTGTTGTCGTTGAATAGTTACGTCTTTTTTCAGAATGACCTGTTCTACAAGCAACACAAAATCCATCCTGAAACCTTCATCCTCGAGCAATTGAACGTCCTGCCCGAGTTCATTTCATCACCTGAGATCGGTTTCTTGAAATCCATCGGGCCAAAGTTGGGCCGAGCCAGAACAAAGCTCGTATTCGTGTTCCTTGATGCAAATTTAGTAGAGCCAACTACGAACGCAACTTATGGATCGCTTGCCAAGAACCTGGCCTCGATAAAAGCGATTGCATCTGGTATTGTGGTCCCAAAGGAATACATCTGGCCCGTTAACCAGGCCCGTATTCTCCAGCCCGCAACAACTCTTGTGCAGGATGCTCATAAGGCGGGTCTGGCTGTATACGCCTCCGGTTTTGCGAACGATAATTTTTTGAGCTACAATTATAGCTATGATCCGGCTCGAGAGTATCTGCAGTTTGTTGATAATTCTCTGTTTTCGGTTGATGGTGTTTTTTCGGATTTCCCTTCGACTGCTTCAGAAGCTATTGGTGAGACTGAGACCCAACTCATATTGTTTCTGCTTTTTGTAGTTTTCATTATCATTGAAATGAAAGACAATAAAATGATTTACTCTTTTTTTTTTTTCTGATCAGGCTGCCTATCTCTCAACAAGAATGCCACAAGGAATGTAAAAAGTAAGAAAACAAAACATGCATCGAATTTTCTGTATATAATGACGAATTCGTTTCAAGTAATACCTTTTTCTCCTTCGCATGATAGGTTTAATCATATCGCATAATGGAGCGAGTGGCGATTTCCCCGGTTCAACTGATCTCGCGTATCAGAAGGCAATTGAAGATGGAGCTGATATTATAGATTGTTCTGTCCAAATGTCCAAAGATGGAATTGCGTTTTGTTCCGACAGACCCGACCTCATGAAAACAACCACCGCAGCCACTCTTTTCATCGACCGCTCGACAAATGTGCCTGAAATTCAAAAGGCCGATGGCATTTTCTCATTCGACTTGACGTGGGAAGAAATTCAATCCCTCAAGCGTAAGTACCTCAAAGGACGACAAATCGCAGCTATCTCTGTCTAGTTTTTTATTTATTATTATTTGTTTATTTATCTATTCACTTAGCTCTTGCGATTGTGCTTACAGCTCAAATCGAGAGTTTCTTTGATGGCGCGCTTGTTAGAAACCCCGCAAACAAGAACAGCGGCAAGCTCGTGACCCTTCCCGAGTTCTTGGAGCTTGCCAAGACAAATGCTGTCACGGGTGTACTAATATCCATACAGGTCACTTTTTTTCTTTTCTCTGTTTCACACAATCACTTATCACGAAATGACTATAGTCCCGTCACGGAATGATTCCGTGGTCATTATTAGCCGTTAGATATACATGTAGATTAGTGTAGAGTAGATAATCTATGGTTAAAGCACGCTGACAGAATCATTCCGGGAATGTAGTCATTTCCCACTTATCAACTTCTTAACTTGCCCACACATTAATCTAATCGAAATTCGAAACTTCTCTTCTCCACAGAACGCCGCATTCCTAGCCATGAAAGGTCTCGACTTGGTCGACACGGTCTCGTCCGCACTCACCAACGCAACGCTCGACAAACAGTCGACCCAAAAAGTCTTCATCCAATCAGACGACAGCTCGGTTCTTCTCAAATTCAACGACAACCCCACATACCAACGAGTATTCTACCTCCAAGATTCCATAAGCGGTGCTCCCGAGCAAGTCGCGCGTGAGGTCAAGAAATACGCGGATGCCGTTTTTGTCCCCAGGGATGCCGTCATGGTGGCCTCCGACAACTTCGCCTTCAACTTCACGAAAACCGTACCGGCACTCCACGCGGCCAACATCTCGGTTTACGTAGGTGTCCTAAAGAACGAGTTCATGAACCTTATATTCGACTACTTGTCCGACCCGTACGTCGAGCTCGCCACTTTCTATTCCCAACACGTTGACGGGTTCGTCACGGATTTTCCAGCCACCGCTAGCTCCTTCGCCCGTGAGTCATATTTTTTATTTTTTTCTGTTTTACTTTTTTCTATATATATTTAATATTAAAGTACTTCACACAGAGGAATTACATTGGAATATCACTTGTGAGTTATCTCAAACGAGCCTAACTTAATAGTGGGTTACTCCTCCCACCACCAACTGATTTTGGATGAAATCTCACTACCGTTCATCTAAGCTCACACTCTTATGTGCACTTCACTTCTCTCAATTATATAAACTAAGAAATAACAACACAATGAAACAGGGTCCACGTGCACCATCAACGGGTCGGCGTACCTCATACCACCGGTGCAGCCGGGTTTTCTGTACGAGGCAGAGCCGGTGGCGGAGCCGCCGCTCCTCAGCACGGCTGACGTGGTGGATCCACCACTTCCGGCCGTGGCCAAGAATGAGACGGCTGAGTCAGTCAATGGCACAGCTTCGGAGGCAAATGGCCCGGCGGCCTCGGGCCCACCACCGCCAGAGACGAGATCAGCGGCCGGTTTGGTGACAGGTGGCGTCGGGGGTCTCTTTGTCGGCACCGTGGTGGCGCTTCTTCTTACCGTGTTTACATAGGAAGGATGTTTGAGGGAGACTCTGAAGTGCAGTTTGGAGGATTGTACAAAACGATGATGCTTATGATAATATATGTGCTACTGATGGATTACAATGTGTGTGTGTGACTGTGTGTGTGTGATGGGAAAAGGCATATGTGATCATTTTTTTGGTCTAAAATTGGTTGTGTGATGCCTCTATTGAGATGTTTGTTTGTACTGACACTGACTCTCCTCGTTTTGGAAAATTTAAACAAAAAGCTACTAAGATTGATTAGTACGTGCATTAATCGTTCAAATGTGTGTGTTAATTTCTCAAGCTACTGTTCTCATGTTTGTGCCGTATTTTATGATACGATAGAAAAGCAAAAGAAATCCTTCGGCTCGAGCTTTATGCTTGAATTAGATTTTGAGCATGTTTATTTTTCTTTGGGCTGCGTTTATTGGGCCATTCATTCTCTATGTAGGACTCTTTTATCTCAAGTCTCAATTCATTGAAAAAAAAAAAAAGAAGAAGAAGAAGAGTCTAAATTCCTAAAAAAAAATTACAACTTTTTACCACGTGATTTTGATGGATTTCTGAAATTTCACGACTTTGGTACACATTTTGAAACTTTTAGATATTTACCAAAGGCTTTTACAACTTTATTTTTGTATGAAATTTTCACTAACGTTGCATAACAACTAATATCAATAAAATTGCCAAAAGTGTGTCTCTCTGTAAAATCGAGAGTCCCTCTCTCTAAAACTCTCTTCAGCGAAAACTCAGCAGGACAGATTTTAGACGGGCGCCCTTTTCTCGCCTAGCCACCGTCGCACAACTGCCAACATCCAGCCTCGGGTCAAGCCGATGGTGTCCGTCTTGGGGAAAACGTTGGCTCCTCCGGCGAGGTCTGTCGGATCAACTCCCAGGAGTCAATTTTCCTAACGATTGAAGATTGCGGGATCTCAGATCTAGGCTGAGACTTGTCTTCTCGCCAGATCTGACTAGCCACTTGAGTAAGTTGGAGTTTTTAGTTCTGGGGCTTTGATCTGTAGTTCTCCTTTGTTGTTGATTGTAGAGTTTGGCTCGTTGTGGGATTTGACTCGTGCGCATATCAAATTTAACATACCTTCTTCCATCCTTAGAAATCTTTGTGATAAGGGATCGTGAGTGCGGTGGTGGTCTCCCTTCGCTGGGTCTTTTAGCGAGAGGCGATTGGGGGGTTTCTGTGCACGAGCGGTTTCGAGCCAAACTTTGTGCGACGACTGATGTTGTTACCACTGGGCTTTCAGTGCTAGAGCGATCATGGCAACGGTCCAATTGATCGATTCTTTGTCGACTCTTTGGTGACTCATTTTAAGGGATTGACAAAAGGAGACTGAGTCTGATCAATTTCAACCCATCTTCGTGGCATCCCTTGTACAAGAACACGATGTAGACAATTAAATTTTGAGCCAATAAAATGGCGACAAGTGTCAAATTTTATGTCATAGTCAATTTAATAATTTTCTATTTTATTTGGGAAATTAATCAAATTATAATTTTTAAATTAAATAATTATTTATTTAATTATTTAATATATATATTGTTGGCCAATTAATAAATGTCTCATGTGTATTTTTTATTATAGAATGTCACGTGTCATTTTCTTGGAGAGCAATAAATTACTAAAACAAAAAAATATTAGAAATTCATGGACAAATTAAATTAAAGTTTTCTTTTCCAAGACTCTCTCTCTCTCTCTTAATTTCTTTTTAAATAATTATTAAGAGATAAATATTGAAATTATGGACCAATTAAATTGAAGTCTTCTTTTCCAAAACTCTCTCCCAACACCTATAAATAGGGGCTCTCCATAAGGTCAAAAATCACAATTCATATTCAAGATCACAATTCATATTCAAGTTCAAGAGCTCTGAATAATACCCTCAAGCGCGTTCAAGCTCAAGACCGACGTTCAATCTGGAAATAAGTTGTCAAGCCTTCGAATTACGTTATTAAAGTCAAGATCAGCGTAGAGAAGATCGAAGATCAACTTTGCAGCGAAAACCAATGACTCGTGTTATTCAGGTTCTTTGATATCACGACGTTCGATTTGAGATCAAACTGTCAAGCCCTCGAAGAAACGTTATTTAAATCTACATTCAAGACCCGCGAAGATCAAACTAAAGATTCGTCTCCAAAAGTCTCAAATTCATTTGAAGATCGTTCTTGAAGAAATTAATCAGAGGAATAATAGAGATTTGTAATCCACTATATTTCATTTGATCCATTAAAAATCAATTTGTACGAAGTTCTCGTGTTTATTAAAACAATAATACGAAATTTTTCGTTACACACGGAAATGGTGCATTCGTTCCTATTAATTTCTTATTTATTTTTCGACTTTGTCAATTTATCTATATTAATAGATTGATGAAATTATATTATTTATTGATATTTTTGAGTTTCAACCTTGAAGCGAAGATGCCGAGATGAGTTCGAGATCGACCGAGTGCAATTCGGGACAAATCAAGTGTTGTACGAGAGCGACCAGGTGTTGTCCAGGATTGACCAGCAGTTGTTCGGGACCATTCTAGGCCAGCTTGGGCCCAGTGAAGTGAGCGGGACAACCACTCAACAATATGGGAATGGTTGATTAATATTATTTTATTATATTGTAATAGTGAGAATAATAAAACTAAATTAAAATTGAATTATATTTTAAATTAAAATTGATATTTATTATTATTATTATATTTGTAAAAAACAATCGCCAAGGTGGCATCGGCCTTACCAATAAGCGATATAAATATTTATTTGTATGACCAATGACCTCTTTGCCTACTGGTTAAGTGTGAGGTACCCATGACATGAGGTCAATGGTTCAAGCCCCCTGGAGCGTAATGGTAGAACAATTAATACTGAGTACTACAAGCGACAGTGTGGGAGACTGAAACTCAGTGAGAACCAACGACTGGATACGTGGCGCCAACATTAAGTTGGAGGGGGGGGGGAGGCAGCATGAAACAATCACTTCGGTGGGACCTTGCGGCTGGATAGCTGGACCAACTTGAAGCTGAGAGGGCCAGCGAACAATCACTTGGGATCAATTTTTTGTGCACGGTAGTTGAAGGTATTAAGTACCTGAAAGTCATTGTGCGGCTACCGCGATTTAACTGAAGACAATTTCTGATGGACCGAAGTTGTTTTCTCGAGAACCTTGTCAGGCGCAAACTTAGAATCTTGACATCAAAATAAAAAAAAAAAAATATATTTGTATGTCATCCAATAATAAACCCACGTAGGCATGTGCGCTCGTGTCATCATTAAAGTAAATAAATAAATAAACTCAACTTGATGTGCATTCGCGTCAGCAGTCAGCAATCAATTTTCCTGTCAATATTCAATGTGTTTGGCCCTTTGTTGGAATGTGTAGTAATGGGATGTGACATAGTTTATTATCCCTAGATATCTACAAACCATCATTGATGATGATTCTTGAGATGCTAACAAAGAAAACTGAAGTGGTGAAAAGTAAAAAGAAAAAGATAGAAAAATATTTATATATTTTTGTTGAGCTAAAACAGTAATTATTAAAAATAAAAAATGTTTCGGTTTCGTTATGGTCCTTATGGAATCATTTCATCATAATTTGTAACCGTTAAATCAATTAACTCAACGGTTAGATGACGATCTAACAATTGACGAAACTAGACAAAATAGTTTCATAAGGGAGTGTTTACTTTGTGGGACAGGATAGGACAAGACAGAAATAAGGCGTTCACATACAGGGATTTGGATGGGATTTGGATGAGTTGGCGCACATGTGACATGTACTGTGCAAGTGAAATCAGCTCCCAGCGGATAAAATCCATCCTGCCCCATACCAAAGATAAAATTATCCCATGTTCTTAATGCCCATTTTGTCCTCAATAGTGGCTGCCAAAAGACTAAAATACCCTTCAATTTACACTAATTTACAAATGTTTGCCATATAAAAGACGGTTCTCCACCATTTGCCCTAGTTTTGCAGAGACGACCATGAGAGGTGGGAAGAAGGCACAGCACATCGGTATTTACGTCGGGCCGAAAGGTAAGGTAGAAATTCGGCATTTTTGTGTTCCAATCATGAAATATGGAACCATTGTCAATGGATTTGTAATCCGGTTTTTTGGTTTATGATTTTTTTTGTTTTTGTTT